AAAAAAAAAAAAAAAAAAAAAAAAAGGAAAAGAAAAAAAAAGGAAAGGCTGTTTGCTGCGGAGAGAAAGAACTGTCATGTGCTGAAAGTAGCCGCGTACAGTCTGGTTCTGTTCGCATGCCTGTGAATTTTGTAATTTTAAAATTTTTAATTTGTATATAAATTGCAGCTATTGCTGTTGTTTTTTTGAAATGAAGGCTGTCTCCCTCTTTTGTGCATCTGTCTATGCATGTCTTGTTTGTCGTCAACATGCATCTCTTTTGTTCTGGAATAGAAATTTTGTTTTCGTCGGAGAGAAAGAACTGTCGTGTGTGTGCTGCGCTCATGGTCTGGTTCTGTTGCATGCGTGTGAAGTATACCTTGCTGTTGTGTCTCGGAATTAAGGACCTCGCCACACCACTGTCGAAACGAAAAAAGCACTACTGCATCTTCCCCAAAAAGTGGCCAGATGTATCTGTTGCTATAACGGATGAACGTTGCCACTTTCTGTGGGAACATGCATTTGCAAGTTTTTCGTTTTGACAGTGGTGTGTCTCCGAACCAAGCCTGTCCAGGAAGGCTGGCGGCCTGTTTCGTCGGTCCGTGTGTCTGTCTGTCTGTTTGGACGTCCGTCACCTGTCCGTTACTCATCTTTTTTTGGTGACAAGTGGATCATGCTGCAGCGGACGTTGTGCATGATTTCTGTGTGGGAGGTCCAGTATCAGACGGGGCAACTGCAGTGCTCCACAGATGCAACACACCTTCGTCATGATGGAACATTGGGCCGGAGAAAGAGCTTGTGCACCTGCATGATGAGAGGGCGTTGTTTCAAGAACGAAGGTCGTACGCACCAAATATTGTCTGTGCTGGCTCTCAAATGTGTTCTGCATACAGTCATCTCTCTCTCTCTCTCTCTCTCTCTCTCTCTCTCTCTCTCTCCCCACACACACACTCCTTGATCAAGCACACCCACCCACCATTACACCCCTTGCTGCTCCAACTCATTACCTCTCTCTCTCTCTCTCTCTCTCTCTCTCTCTCTCTCTCTCTCTCTCTCTCTCTCTCTCTCTCTCTCTCTCTCTCTCTCTCTTTTCCGGGGACGCCTGGGCTTATCATTCCTTTCCGAGGTAGCCAGTTCTGTGAGGAGGTGGTTGGATAGCGCAATAGCTTCTCTTCTTCCGTGCAAATTTCAAAAGTAACCCTCCAAGTGTTTGAGGGTTATGCAGCTCGATCTGTTGCAATCTCTGATGTCATGACCGTAAAGCTTTTTCCTTTTTTCCTTTTCCTTTTTTGAGGGAAGCGTATCCAGAGTTTTTTACCACGCCCACATCCAATACCTGCCTTTCTTAGAACAGCTTCATATCCAACACCTGAGATTTTTTTTATTTTTATTTTTTTTTGAGGGGGGGAAACCATGGTGCCGCATCTATTCTGGAGGGCAACAGTCAGGTTGCTTATCACCGGCAAGCAAGAATCAGAGTTCGAGGTACCCAACCTGCTAAATCTTTGAGTGAAATCCCTTTCAGAGAGCTTTCATACATAGATAGGCACCAGAGAGCCTTTCAGAGAAGAAGCAGTCAGGCCAGCCCTGTACAGCACCCACGATTTCTACAAAATCCATAAAGCTTCACTTTATTTAATTTGACAAAAAAATCCCTTTTTATTTTTATTTAAGAAATCCCGCTTCCAGGCACAGCTTGGCTGACTCTTGCACTTTATTTAATTTGACAAAGAAATCCCTTTTTAATAAAGTTTTATTTTTATTTAAGAATTCCCGCTTCCAGGCACAGCTTGGCAGCCGCGTCGACGTTTTTGGGCGAGTTGAATAGCCAGAATGGACTTGGCCGAGGTTCCAGCTGTGGGCAAGAAATGGCATTTCTTTTTTTGTGGTTTTGTTTTATTCGTTGTTGTTTTTTCTTTTGCTCTTTTCTTTTTATTCTCTCTCTCCTTTCTTCCTCTTTTTTTATCCCTCTTTTTTTTTGGAAAAAACGGTGACAGCCTTGAGATGTCATCATCATGTTACCATGCAAGTGCCGTCGTGATCCTGGGTTATTCAGGAATTTTGTTCATGTGGCTGCATCTCGGTTCCAACTCAGCTCTGCATTTCAACAGTTATTAATGTTAATGGGGGTATGCCAACTGAGCCAAGCCCGTTGGTGGAATGTCGTATGAAGAAGAGCCCGGCAGGTTATATACACTTGAACGTTTAAGCGAGTAGCACAAATGCCCTCAATCGACTAGCAGGGAGTGGCGCACAGAAGCCACTAGCACAGAAGCCACTAGCACAAATGCCGGTGGTGCAGGGAGTGGTGAACCGAAGCCACTAGCACAAATGCCGGTGGTGCAGGGAGTGGCGAACAGAAGCCACTAGCACAAATGCCCTCAATCGGCGCTTCGGCTGGTGGTGGACATGGAGACTGTGCAGGGAGTGGCGTGATTCGTTTTTGGTTCCTGACAGGTCATATACACGTAAGCCCCGTCTCAACCCGAAACCAAGGTGTGTGCCTTGTGTACGGGGTACCTTTTAGACCAAGTTTTAGGGTGCAACTTTCCTAAGGCAAGGGGAAAAAAAAAAAAAAGTGTATGCTACTGTACAGTAAATATTAGTAACAATATCACGAATAGGACGGGGATGCAGCGTGAAGTTCTTTTTTTTTTTTTTTAAAGGAACACATCGACTGCGCTGCGTGCTCACAATCCGGTGTGCATTCCAACGCTACGTGTGTTTGAGTGTGTGTGTGTGTGTGTGTGTGTGTGTGTGTGTGTGTGTGAGAGAGAGAGAGAGAGAGAGAGAGAGAGAGAGAGAGAGAGAGAGAGAGAGCATAGCACCCATGTGTGGAGGAGAGAGAATGAGGGAGAGTTGCATGACAGTTACAAGGCACACCTCGAATACAAGGTACGTACCTTGTATTGAAGGGTATCTTCGATTCGAAAATTTAACAGTGATTTCTAAGAACTGGTTTTTCGGAGGTAACTTGAATGCAAGTTACGTACCTTATTTTCCGGTTAAGACGGTAGTACAAATGCCCTCAATTGACGCTTCAGCTGGTGGTGGACATGGAGATTGCGCGAGGAGTGGTGCGATTCGTTTATGGTTCAAAGCACTTGGGTTCCACAATTTGGGGTCCACCATACCGGTGCTTTAAGCCACCAGTACCTCCACATTCTTAGGCCGTTAATGTGGTGGCGGAATCAGTGCGCTACGCTGGTCCATCTGCATTTGTGTCAGAGCCTCCCCAGAGGGGCCCTAAGACCGACCCCCCTGGGGTAGTGGTGGTTTAAGCAGCGCAGTTGAACCAAGCAACTAAATTATTGAGAGCTACGGAACCTGTCCATGCTGATCGCTCTGCTGCTACGGAACCTGTCCATGCTGATCGCTCTGCTGCTTGGGGTCCAGCTGGTAAGCAATTTGGGTGGGTATTTTCTAGCAGGGGGATGGTCACCCTATCACTTCTCGGGAGTTGGTGAGGTTGAGTGGCCCAAGAAATTCCGCGACGAGGGTTTAACTTTTAGCTGTTTGATATTGACATCAACTTCTTGAGGGGGCCAAGAAATCCTTCACCAAGCGAGCGACTGAGCTGTTTGAGATTTTCACGAAGTTTAGTATGCGTCGCTGTCGAATCTGATTTGTGCAGAATGAGATGGATAAGTCGCAAGCCTTGTACAAGGGCCCCTTCCTGGAGGGGCCTGGCACACAGTGAATAGGTGTCAATTTGTGTCAAATAGTCGACCATCGGAGTATAAAACTCTACCCCACCATCTCCATCTGGCCCGGGGCACTACGACATTCCCGAAACTTAAACCACCAGTACTTGACCCAGCTATCGGCCGCGGAAAACAATAGAGTAGAAACGTTTCTGGTTGGATGAATTTGGGCGCTCCTGTAGTGGCCCGTACGTTTCCTAAACTCGTGGCGCGTTAACGGGCACGACTTTAGGAAGTACTGGTGGTTTAACAGGCCCGTTGAGCGAGATCTTAGAGGGCTTCCACACGGCCTCCCAGATGCATAACCTAACCTTATCCACTGTGTACATGGGCGAATTCTCTCTTTTCCTTTTCCCTTTCTTTTTTGTTGTTGCTGTGTCTGTTTGGAGGTATATAAATCTTTTCTAGCCGTAGCGTAGCACGTTGCATCAGACGCTGTATGCTTTAAGACGATACTGGACCGAAGAAAAAAAAAACAAAAAAGATGTGACCAGACAAGGAGC